ATAAATATATAAACTATGTTACATGCGTTATATGCATCTTTAATTATTTTTCCCTAGCAAATTTCAATTGAACCTAAAGCCGCCACGTCAGTTTAATTGATATGCTAATTGATTGACAACTAAGCAAGGTTACTTTTTAATTAATACAAACTTGAGGTTACATCTTTTCAAATGTTTCTCAATTAATATATAGGGGATTTAAGGTCTTTTTGATTTCCCGAATACCCCTCTTCGAGATGATGACTCTTATTGGCCAGAAATCTCATAATTTTTAAAACAGTTATACTCGATCGAGCGAGTCAAGTACGACAATTATATTTAGTCGGAAGGTTAAACACGACCTATATACCCGATCAAAAAGAGTTAATCAATTAATTAAGAGTTTAGGGCTTTTTTTTATTGGCCAAAAATCTCGAAATTTTTAAGACAGTTATAGTCGGTCGAGCGAGTCAAGTACGACAATTGTACTTAGTCAGAAGGTTAAGCACGACCTATATACCCAGTCGGAATTAATCAGTTAATTAGAAACTAGATCTCGACCCGCACAACCGTGCGGGTATTTTAATACGAAAATATTTGAAATTATATAATACTCATTCCGTTTCTAATTAGATATGTTTTAAAAGATATATTTTATTTCAAAATATAATATATTTTGAGATTTTACGGTATATTTTGAGGTTTTAAAGTTACTTTTAGTTTTATTGGAAACTGTTCAACCGATAAAATTTTACTCTTTTTAATAATTGGTTGAATGATTATAAAATTATATCTTTAAAAATAATTTTGTAAGAGAAGGTAAATTTCTTAATCTTTGTGAAATGATCCAAAACATCATACATTAATAACGGAAGGAGTAAAATTTATCAATAAATAAATATAATTATTCTATATACTATCCACTTTTATAATAATAATCATGTGGCTTATAATATTATTAATTTAAAATTTATAAATTTGTATTTTTGTAACAATTTTTAAAAACATTATTATACTAATTTATATATTTTGTTTTATTTCTAAATTTTAAATATATATAAAAAGTAAATTAAATTGGACCTACATAATACATAAAAAATTTTTGGGATATTGTTAAAAGTATATTACATAATTTTATTTTTTTACAAATAAAAAATGAATTAAAAATTTAATTATATTTTATGATAATTAAAATTTTAATCAAATAATTTTTAAAAAGATTCTATAAGATTTTTTAAAGATTTTTTTAGAATTTTCTTTAAATTATTTATTTGTATTTCAAATAAAAATTTTAAGATATGAAAAGATATTATATGATGTTATGTAAAATTTTATAAAATTTCTAAGGATGGTGTAAACTAAAAATTCACACATAAAGTGAATAATGACTTCTCATTTAATATATTAGATTTAAAGTTTTTTAGGATCTAATCCCTGATACCATGTTAGAATTGAGTTTATTATGGGTTTCCAATTTAAATTCATTTAACACTATAGTTAATTAGGATCTCATGGACAATAACTTTTTTTGCAAAATCAAAAATTATGAAGAGAAACTTAAATCATTCGGAGAGTCCAAATTTCTGTTGAATCACGAAAAAATACACAAATAAGAAAAAAGATGAAGAAGACTCAAAAGAGTTTTTTTTTTTTTTTTTTAAAGGCTTTCATATTAAATATTTTTGGGTTTTTTTTTTTTTGTTACATAAAATGCAGAAATTGAAAACATAAAAACAACAAAACAGGCCCAAGAAAAACCCCTAATGGGCTCGAAACTAGCTAACCCTAATCCAATTGACCCACAAAATGGCCCAAACCCTAGAGCCTCCGCAAACCCTAGCTCCACTTGAAACGAAGCCGCCGCCGCAAGCACACACTCGCCGATTACGAACTCCGACAAGGCCACCCTGAAGCGAGGAGAAACACGAAGAAGGACCGGAACAAACCCCACCAGCCAATCCGCAGCACCGAGCGAACCGAGAAAGAAAAACCGAAGTGGAGCACTATGAACGGAGAGACTCATCGAGAGGGAGGAAAGCGATGTTGGAGCCGAGCCAGTCGTCTCCTCCCGTTGCCGTAGTCAGCCGCTGCCGGAACCCCTTTCAAGACCCATCCGTCGTCCTCAAACGGCGAGCTTACTCATCGGCCCAGCAGTTCAAGCTCCACCAAAGTCTCCTCGCCATAACGACTCACCGCCTCTCCCTCCACCATCGGTTTAACTGTCGGAAGCCCAGGAGGTCATAAAAGAAAGATAGGAACTGCACAGCCAAGAGGAAGCATGGATCCAGATCTCGTCCTCTAAAGATCCGGACATGCATGACCGCCGCACCCAGAGCCACCTTCAGACGAAACCGGAACGCCGGAGATACCTTGCACCGCCACACCAACCGGGCAAAAGGTAGCTAGAACCGAAGATGAAGCACCGGCCGAGAAAGAAAATGAACAGGGGGTCCCCCACGACACCGACGAGACCGCCGGACACCGGAGGGACCGAAACGATATCTAGATTTGACGGTGACTTTGTAGAGAGAGGTTGGAGAAAAAGGTTTTAGAGAGAGGTTTTTCCCCAAGCTGTCGTTTTTAAGAGAGGCTGCTTACATAAGTCTTCACAGTATCAAGAGTTTTTATTGATTTTGGATTAAAACTTATGAAAGGCTGCTTACATAAGTCTTCACAGTATCAAGCTGATTTTAGTTTGTTTAACAAAGAATTGTGTATAAGAGATCGAACTGTTTTTCAAAATTCATCTAATAATTCGGATATAATAAAAAAAACAACAAAGCATCGCAGAAAATGTCTAATTTAGGTTTGATATACTAAAAATCACCGAAAACTAAATTTTCTAAAGTTAAATTTGGATGCACATAGTCTAAGAATTTTGTGATGAATGTCCATCTCTTCTTCGTCTCGATCCTTGTTCATATATGTTTCTTTTATCTTTTATGAATAATAAAGAATAATAAAAATTATTAAGTATTATGTCTATATTAATTAAGTTGGTGTGAATAAATAAATAAATTTTATGAACCTAAACAATCACTTTTCTATTTTAAGTGGTATACAATTCAATTTAAATAAGTATTAACATAAACTTATATTTATTAAATGAGACTTTCTAACAAAAATCTTTAAAATGGATCACACAATTTGAATATGAGAATTTTAACAGTTTTAATAATTTAAATCTGTTTTAAGAAAATAAAAAATATAAAAAATCTAAATTTTATTATATGGTTAATGTGATTGTTTTATTTATTTTAAAAATTTTATCAAATATTTATTATTAAAAATTATTAATTTTCATATATAATTTAGTCATATTAGGTAATTTTGTAATTTTTATTTAAGAAAAGAATGAAGAATATTAATGATGAGTTTATGACTAGTGTAATAAAAAGCTTATTATATATTTTGATGGACCAACATATTTCTCTAAGATTTTGAAACTCCTTGTAGTGATGACACGTGGCTACCTCAAATGTTGTAATACTTATCTTTTAATATATAAAGGATATTAGGTGGCGTAGATGGTGCACTATCTTTATACATATAGTATATTAGATGTTTACTACATCATGTGCAATGATAAAAAAATTATTTTTAAAATTATTTTTAAAAATAGTTTTTATTAGTATTTTAGATTTAATCGCTAGCTTACCACTATTTTAATGTAAGTTTTGATTTAATTATACATAAAATTAAGAGAAATAAACAATTTTGTTTACTTTTAATTATATATAAGAATACATATTTTTATCTATTTTTGGTTAAAATATATTAAATTAATTTGTCTAAATTGTAAAAAAATGAAAATACAAAATTTATAATAATTAAAATAAAATTAAACAGTATTTTAAATTTTATAGATATCAAAAAGGATACAAATGGTATTACTTTAAAAATTTATATAAAAATTTTAAAATCATTGAGTAACAAAAATTGTATAATTATAAAATTAAATTAAATAATTTGTAAATAATTTTATATTTATATTATATATTATTTGATGTTATATTTGAATAGACTCTTTAATGATGATGTGTAAGTTATTACCATATAAATCACCTTTAGATGTAATTTTCATGTCATAGATTCTAATTTTTTTACCAAAAATATAAATCACCTTTAGATGTAATTTTCATGTCATATTAATCATAGGTTATGTCATATTTTCTAGTATGTCATATCACATTTTTAGATGAAAGTGATTATAGAGATGATATGTGTAAAATCACTTTACAAATAATATCTAGAAGAGTTAATCAATATAGACTTGACACTAAACATTCTTATATATATATATATATATATTTGTGAAATTCAATGTAAACATTTCAAACTTCTGTTCATGTGTGTTTTTCCAAAGAAAACTTTACTTTTTCTATTAAAAAAAAATTGTTCTAATTTTGGTCTATCATATATATGTAATACATGGTCCAACACATTCCTAGGGTTTTCTGAATTCAGCAGCTCATTCATACTAATATTTGTATTACATGGTCCAAAATCATTCTAATTTTGGTCTATCATTCTATTAAAAAAAAATACTCTAATTAGTGTTCGAACAGAGGAGCGGAACAAATGTAGTTCTCCCGCATCTGCAGTTTTCCTGTACTGTTTTTACCATTCACCGTTTTATGTTTATAAAATCAGTTTAATCGGGAGATTTACATATAGTTTAATATTTTATGTCTTTTTGTGAAATATAGGAGATATGCATGCATATCTCACCCGTTGAAATTTGATAATGTTGATATGTTTTTTCCACTAATAAATGATTTTGCTACAAACACTAACTTTAAATATATTTATTTGATTTTATAAATAATGTATAATTATTAGCTCAAACAATATAGTTCACACTAAATATTATTTGTGTCAATTTTAAAATTATAAGCATATCATTTTTAAAATTATAAGTATGACATTCAGTCACAGTCAAAACACAATATTTTTCAACAAAAAATATAAATCTTTCTATATAAATATCAACAAAGAGTTTAACATTAGTGACATGGCGGTTCTTCAAAGATAATTTTGATCAACTAAAACAAAAATAGAAGAAGTACAAGCATCTTATAAAAATTCATAAACATTTCGGCTGATCCTACAATATCTAAGATATTTATTTTGATATTTTGGTATAATCTTTTATTGTTTGAATATATGATCTATAGTTTTGAATTGATTTTGTTATTCATAATTTATAATAAGTTGTTTGATCTGTATTTCCTATGCATGATCTGCTTGATTTGCATTTGTCCTAATTAATTTGTACTTGTCCTAATTGATCTGCATGAACCGTTTAATCTACATGATCGCTTTTACCATCCGAAGCGTTAGAATGGAGGGATCTCACAAGACAGATTTTGTTTGACTAAAATTTCACAAGACAGATAAGTAGATTATGCTGTTTTTCTTCTTCCAAATGGCACGTCGATCATAAATAGGAAAATTCCAAAGCTGGCGATCATCTAGCCTTGTTCATTACATCTGGTCATTAATTTTCCTGTCAATTTCTTTTGCTTCTGATTTTTAAAGAAGCGAAACTTAAATTTAGTCAAATCATTTGACAAAAAAAAAATTAGTCAAATCAGATAAGTTTCACTATTAGACTCCACATTTCCACTGAAAAGCAGAGGGCACCGACTAAAGCAAGCCAGGAAAGGTAATTGCTTACAGAGAGACGATATAGACCATATTTTATTCAAAAACAAAGTAAAAGAGAAGGAAATATACAATGGAAGATTTACAGGTACATTCTAAGAAAGAAGTAGATAAGATTAGATGGGAGAAGTTGAAGAGAGTGGCATCCATGGCGGCTCCTATGGTGGTGGTAAACATATCTCAAACCCTTCTTCAAGCCACTTCTACAATGATTGTTGGTCACAAAAGTGAGATCTCTCTAGCTGGAATTGCTCTCGCTAGCTCCATCGCTAATGTAACCGGGTTTAGTCTCCTCGTAAGTTTTTTTTTATTGTTAAAAAAAAAGTTATCCTATTTAAGTTGAAATTTATTTTGCTCTGATCTAATTTTTTAAGTAGAAATATTTGAATAACAGTCTGGACTAGCGAGTGCATTAGAAACATTATGTGGTCAAGCCTTTGGAGCTCGTCAGTACGAGAAGCTCGGTTCCTATACTTTCACTTCCATTGTTTCTCTCCTCATCATATGTTTCCCAATCTCACTTCTATGGATTTTCATGAAGAATATTTTGTTATTGTTTCATCAAAAACCCGACATATCAGAGATAGCTTCTGTTTACTGCCTTTGGCTCATACCAGCTTTATTTGGTTACTCTGTACTTCAATCTTTGATTCGCTACTTCCAAACACAAAGCTTGATTTTCCCTATGGTTTTCTCTTCTTTAACGGTTCTGTGTTTCCACGTGCCGGTTTGTTGGGTTTTGGTTTACACTTTAGGGCTTGGGACCAAAGGTGCTGCTTTATCTGTTAGCCTTTCGTATTGGCTTAATGCGGTTTTCCTCTGGTTTTTCATGAGACGTTCTCATGTTTGCGAAGGCAAACGCGTTTTTATATCGATGGAAGCGTTTGGTCACATGAGGACCTTTTTCTCCTTAGCGGTTCCTTCTGCTATGATGATTTGTCTTGAATGGTCGGCTTTCGAAATTTTGGTTCTTATTTCTGGAGTTTTACCCAACTCAAAGCTGGAGACCTCTGTGATTTCTATGTGGTAATAGGAAGTCCTAATTTTCTAGTAACATTATAGTCTTTATCTATGATTGTTGCATGAGCTAATGGCTATCTTTTCATTTTGAGCAGCGTGACATCGTCTTCGTTGCACTACAATCTAGCAACTGCGATCGGTGCGGCCGCAAGGTCAGTTTGTGTATTATAATTCGTTTATGTACGCAAATTTAGAAATATAAAACCGGTTGCACTTAAATTTTTATGGACTTACAAGTCATGAGTAGATTAGTCTAATATTTCTTTATATAGTATTGCATTATAACTCGTTTTACTTCTGTTATTATATGTATATGATGAGTGTTTTAGTCTATTTTAAATCAAATTCCACTTTATGATCGGTAACTTATCCTATTTTAGCGCTAATCTTGGGTTTTGTATCATGTTAAAGTTTAAAAAGCTAATTATTAGGGAGGTGATTGATTGACTTATGTTCATTATCTACTAGGATCGGCCCGCCCTACGGGCGGGATGCAAAATATGAAATAATTTCAACAGCTAATGTATACGAATAATAAACATTGCTTGTATTGATATAACTATATATTTTTTTGTGTATTGTGTAAAGTTTTGTAAAAAAAGTGTATAATATATTTTATGGTTTTTAAGAACTCTATAGTGTAGGGATCATGTATGTTAAGATAAAATATGTGTGATTTCAATGTTTTTGTTTATATTAATAGGTTAAGGCGTATAATATACTATGTTTTGTAAACTTATAATATTATATTCTCAGTTATTTATTAAATTTAGTTTGATTTTAGTTCAATTATTTTTATTCTTGGTTCAGTTTGGATAATAAATTGGGGAAGCGGTTAATATAAAAAAAAAACAAAATTAGATCCCTTTCAGTTACATGCCTTTTTGGATAATTTTGATTAGTTTGAATTAATTTTATGGATAATTCAGTTCTGTTAAGGAGAAATACCAAGTCATTTGTGTTTTTTAGATAAACCATAATCGGGAATTTAGGTAATTACAATATTTTAGGTTAAATCATGTTTAGATAATTCATTTTTTGGATAATTCAGTTTATAAATAGTAAGTTGGTGGCATTTGTAATTGTAAAACTAAATATAATTAGTATTTTAGGTCTGTAAGTTTTATTTGAATTTGGGGTACATAGTTTGTTTATTGTTCGATTTTTATGATATTTGGTTTGCTTTCGGTTCTATTTATTTATTCGATATGATTTGGCTCTTCCTTTTAGGGCAAATATAAAAATCCATAATTCCATGTGTGCAGAGACTAATTGGTGGTTTCTCTAATTTTATAAGCCGTTTAAGTTTTTTTTTTCTTTCGGAGCGTAAGATAAAGAGTTTTGTAGTACTGATTAACGGGACGTCGATTTTTGTTTGATCTCAAACCTCTCATCATACTAAACTTTTGAAATAATTAAATTTAGGATAAAATATTGACCATATATAAACTTAAAAGAAAAATTGGCTGGTGAATCGAATAAATTGTATCTTAAGAATAACATTATTGTATAGACGAAATAAAAGTTTGGTCACATAAATAACATAGCCTATAAGGGACCAAATAATTTAGGTGGTAAAATCTTTTATGATTCCGTGGGATTTTCTATGTTGTTATTGGTTTTGGTTATATTATTTTAGTTTTTTTCTGCCTGAGTATTTCTTTTTTCTTTCATGCTCAGTTGTGTACTATTTTTCGTATTTTAATATGAATTATATGTTATTTTATTAAACCAAAGGAATATTATGTAAAAATATAATTGCCCTAAGCACGGTTTATAACTATTATTATAATTTATCAAAAAAATCTAATTTATACTAATAAGTATATTTATTTCTAATAGTTTTGAAGTTATGGTAAAGGTGCTTAAACCAGCTGAATCCAAATCCTTCACCTATTTTGTGGAAATTAGAAACTATATCGAAAACAATAAGATGAGCTTGATAAGATGCAAACATGAGCCAAGTTTACAGTGTTAAAAAAGGTAGCTGCATCACGGCCTCCATGTTTAGATTTCTATATGCTTAAACTGTAAAACAATCAGAAATACGAAGCATAATTTACAGACTTTTTGTGTTTGTAAGAATATAAATCTAACCTATTTCTGTTTATATTTAAAACCATACACTCAGATAGTGCTACTCTAATTATCAAAATTATTATATTCTAAGAATTAGACCTGAGCATTACAAAATTCGTTCTATATATTTGGACGTTTGTTTATAATGCATGCATATCCTTGAAATTAACAGGATGTCTTTCATGTCTTCATGCCTGTGTTTAGGTTCATAACACCTAAACGGGAGGAATACATTTTAGTAATGAGTAATATTTTTATGTGTCCGACGACAACAAATTTTCTTTATAAAAACCAAAGAGCAAAAGAGAAAAGAAGAGCTCTCACTTATCACAAATCTGAAAGTGTTTGCACTGACTACAGACCCAAAGATTCGAGATACCATCAGCATACAACAATATGTGCAAGACGTTTACAAGTGGACCATGATAAAGTCATCAAGTATCGCACCATGGAAACGCACCGCGGTGGAAACGAAAGCTAAGGGTTGTATATTAATACTGCTCATGTAATCACATTTGGTCATCAAAAGAAACTGTTAAAAAGCAGAAAACATAAAAGATCAAGTTACTCACAGTTTTCACCATTTGAATATTGTCAAGCTGACACATCTTTCTTTTGTTGTTGGAGAACTGATATCACGTATGGTTAAAGACATGAATCTCATAGTGAAGAAAGTGAAAATGCAAATAGAAAACAACTTTGAAGATGACTTTGTAGGGAACCAAGTAAAAAAAAAGTAGGGAACCAAGGGGTGGGA